GTTCTGGGTGGGGTGCCGATAGTGATAAGGGTCAGTGGGTCCAGTCAGTACTCTGTATATAGTCTCCGTCAAACGAGGAGAGTTATACATACATACAATTAACTACCAACGAAGGATGATGAGGTGCTCACTTGGAAGAGGATCTATGCTGATGTTGGTTAGCTCAGGAGGTCCGTTGGATTCTTGAGATCGAGTTCATGGTTGCCAGGGAATATTGCAGGTTTCTATTCTGAGAACAGTCTGTCTGCTTTATGTTATTCTTCCAGGACGAAGCTGGCCGGCAGGGTGGGCCAAAGTCCAGCATGAGATTTGAAATGTGATGTTTAGAAAGAAGTGAAGGATCAGAAGACTTCCACTCATTTCCACTCCTGGGCTCTGGCAGCTGTATGTATATGTATGTAGGCCACCCACTACAAATCTGGCTGCATTGGGATCAATGTTGTTCAATACAGTCTTGCATTGGTTTCAAGTATCCCAGCAAACTTGCAGGCGGTCAAAGAAATTTTATGGATTGGGGATGCTCAAATCCCTTGGTATGTAGGCAACTTTTTTTTTGGTAAGAGATACATATAAAACCAACAGATGGGAGGAGAGTGTACATAAATACAAAGTCAGGCGCCTTTTTCCTAGTCACTACAGCAAAAGGGGAGGAGGTTTGTCAACAGGATACAAATCTGTGAGGGTGGCACATCTCACCAAACTCAGGCTCATGTGCTGGAGTGGTTTTAATGAGCCTGAGTTCCAGCTGAACAACCAATTCTGATGTTAAGGTGGGTTAGTGATGTATGATTGGTTATTGGTGATGCTTGATCTTGCTTCTATTAAAGGGGGAGTTGGTTGTCTGAAAGGGTATGCACCAAACAGGGTTTGAATGCAGTACAAAGATTGGCTCAACTTTGAGCAAAGTCTATGTAAGATGATGTCTCCACTTTTTGGGAGTCATTTAACCAAGCCCCTTGTTCAATATTTTTTATTGTTTGAGTCACTGGCCAAGCTATTGTTGAATAGATGGTCAGTTTTCCAATCCAAAGCTTGGTTCCAAAGACTGCTGGTTTCACAGCACTACAAACATAAATTTTACCCCAAGGGCATTTTTTTTTTCTTTTGCAGTAGGAAAAATCACACTTTATTTGAACTTCCTTGCAAAATCCCTAGAAATTAGGCTAAAATGAGCTATTTCAGCCAAAAAAAGTGCTATAAAAACGTGTCAAATACTTCAAGTTTAGTTTTAGCTCATTTGAGGCAATTTTATCTTTTGGCTAAAATCACTCATTTTAGCCCAATTTCTATTCCCAAGGCATTTTAAAAAAAAAAAAAAACACCAGGAAGTTGACCTATTTTCCCCAAATAGTGAATTTGATGTGTGAGTGAAAATGAAGGCTTCTATTACTAATAAGCAAGGAATCATTTGATTGTCCAGACCAAGCCCAACAACTGTAGAAGTCTTTTAGGGCAAGTTGATAAACCCAAATTCTGCCACCATTATTCTCTCCTGAAGTTCCCATGAGAAGCTTGCAATCAAGTGGCATGTTGCTCTTATTGGATGGGTCAGACCCTTGAGCTGTGGCGTCGCCCCGTCCGCGCTGTGACAGGCAGGTCAAACCAGACCTGTTTCGGACCCCGCAGCCCGGATGTGGCCCGCTGGCGAGCTCGAGACGCGACGCGAAGGGCACCAACAAACTTCCCTAGAAACAAAACAAAAACGATATTGCCCGTCTAGTCCGCTCAAGCAATGTCGGAACCAATGCAAGAAGAGCCAATAGAGAACTGTGAAACCGAATCTCCTGCCCTGGATCCACCCAACGAGGCTCCCAACGACAATCCGGAGGAGGTTCAGAATAAAGAGACAGCTGATGATGGCGCGCTTGGCGACGGGTTGAAGGACATACCTCTGGATAAGCTGTTTGATGATGAGATGGATGTGGATGATGCTGGCCCATTGGGTCCGGAAGAGTAAGTTTGAATATCTGTCGATTTCCATCATGAGAGAGTCGCTGAATTCCACTGACACTTCCCTCTCCTTAACCCACCTGTGATACCTGTAGATATCGTCATCTGGCCCAATACGACGATCCCTGGTCAGATTTGAAAGATCCGCACGTGATGATGAATTTCTATCGGAGGATCTTCCCCTGGAAGCAACTCTTTCTCTGGTTAAACCAAGACCATGGTCAGTGTCGGCAAAAGTTCACTTCAGATAGAGATCTCAAGGGAGGAAGGGGCGGCTGATCGATGGTTTAGTCTGGACTGGCTCTTGCTCTTTTCAGTTCCAAATTATTTATTCACCCACCGAGAGTTTGCGATCACGCTCCAAAACGATGCATATCTGCGCTACAACTCCTATGCCAACTACGTAGACCTACAGAAGGATATCATCCGACTCAATCCGACTCGGTTCGAGATTGGTCCGGCATATAGCGCTCCACCGAAAGACAGGAAGACGCTACCGAAAGCCTCCTTCAAGCCGATCCTCCGCGAACTGGTCTTCGATATCGATTTGACTGATTATGATGACATCAGACGGTGTTGCTCTGACAAGAAGATCTGTATCAAATGCTGGAAATTCATTTCACTCGCCATCCAAGTCCTCGACTTCACCTTACGTCAAGACTTCGGTTACAAGCATCTACTCTGGGTCTACTCCGGAAGGCGAGGTGCTCACTGTTGGGTATCAGATGAAGAGGCTATGAGATTGACGGACGAACAGAGGAAGGCGATCGTCAGTTATATCAATATCATGAAGGGGGGTGGCTCGAAATTCGGATTGAAGGTCGATTTGAAGAGCCCCTTACATCCGATGGTCGAAAGAAGCTTAATGGAACTTACCAACTCCTTCTTGCCAGTAGTTTTACGAGATCAAGAGGTTTTCAAAGAAGAAGATAAATGGAAGTTTTTATTACGAATCTGGTCGGACACAGGTAAGAGCTCTTATGAAACATGATTTTCTCTCATCTACACAATGAAAAATATGTGCCTTTGTACTGAACTCGCTCATGCTTGGTTATTAAAGACTTGACCAAGAAGTTCGAACAAGCGTGGTTATCTGATCCCGAAATAACCTCGGAGGAGAAATGGAAGGCGGTACTGAATTATTACAAGCCGTCGGAAAAGGAGAAGACCCCGAATCATAGCCAGAAGAAGCTCACAGCGCTTCGGGATGTGATCAACAACGTCATACTTCACTACACCTATCCGCGAATCGATCTAGAGGTCTCCAAACACCTCAACCATCTCTTGAAAAGTCCCTTCTGCGTGCATCCGGCCACCGGTAAGGTTTGTGTCCCCCTCGACCCCAAAAACCTCGACACCTTTGACCCCGATAAAGTCCCCGATGTTCGTGACCTCCTCCGTGAACTCGACAAACACCCCTCGTCTACCCTCCCCACTCCTGCCAATCCTTCCGCTTCCGTCGAGCCTCCGGTTGCTTTAAATTGGCACCATACCTCCCTTCGTCCTTATGTCGAATTTTTTCAGGAACATGTCAACGGCCTGCTCAAGGACCGATTACAAATTAAAAAAGGTCAGCTCTTCCCCTCAGTAAAACATGTAATCCAACAAATGCATTTTGTTCTAATGCATAGTTTTTGTTATTCTCTTATAGATCTCCAAACTGATTCTCTAGAGTTCTAAAAATATCTTCCCTTCTGGATACACCATGATCATAAACCTGTTGCTCTACTGAAAATTTTCAGGTTTCCTGATCTAATACTGGCTCCACTCTTAGTCTTTTTTGTCTCAGGACTTACTCCCACTAATCCTGTACATTTAGTAAACCAATTCAGTATTATTATTGTTTTCATTTCAATTTTTCTTAGTGAAAAGGATCTATCAAGTCACTAAGTCAAATCCTGCATCTTTATACTTACACTATTACTTTTCTCATTTTTTTGCAAAAGGAAAAGGAAAATCATGTAAAAAATGGGACAGGATACAAATAAGACATGAAGTAGTGAGGCAGAGTTACCAAGCTTACTAAACATGTTTGGGAATTGAAAGAAAGAAAGAAAGAAAGAAAGAAAGAAAGGAGATTTATTTCTTATCTGAACCTCCTCCTATATTTTGAATAGGAGTTGGATGGAGAGTTGGCCCACTATTCACTCAGATGGACAAGAAAACAGTCTTGGAGAGGTTCTAGAGCCCCAGATTATTATTGTGTAAATGATTGTGCCTTCCAAAATGTTTTTTTTTCTCACATGGGATTTTTCCCCAATCCCTAAAGCCCCAAGCCCATCACGCTAAAGTGCAGGCAACTACCTACTGATTATCATGACCAACTCAACCAAAAAAAAAAAATGTGCAAGATTGGTTGTCTGGGTGAAATCAGGTGGCCTCAGCCG